GAGGGTAGTAAGGGTCCGGATCTCTACGGGGAGATCGTTCCAGAGGGCCGGAGCAGCAACAGAGAAGGCTCTCCCCCGGGGGGTGGCCAGCCGGCATTGGCTGGCAGATGGAACCCGGAGAAGCCTGTGCGATCGAATTGGTCTTTGGGAGGTAATTGGCAGGAGGCGGTCTCTCAGGTACCCAGGTCCGATGCCATGTGGGGCTTTATAAGTAACGACTAGCACCTTGAAGCGAGTCCGGAGACCAATGGGCAGCCAGTGCAGCTCACGGAGGATAGGTGTAACGTGGGTGTACCTAGATGCACCCACAATCGCTCGCGCGGCTGCGTTCTGGACTAGCTGAAGTCTTCGAACACTTTTCAAGGGCAGCCCCATGTAAAGTGCATTACAGTAGTAATGTTGGAACTGCAATTAACCATTGGTTTCATACTATCATATGTGGCGGAGTTGCCCAAAAGCTAAAAAATATTGGATGAAAATGCATATTTGGTTGGGGAAAAAAATGATAAAGCAGCATATAGACTTGAAACCAGAGACATTTTTGTTGTACATCCTACTGGAAAAATATGATAAAAGGACCAATTATCTGGTTTTAAGTATACTAACTGCAGCCAGAATTGTATTTGCACAACAATGGGAAAAGGATGAGATTCCGTCAGATGAGATAGTAATTAAAAAAAACATTGGACGCAGACATTGGTGAGCTCCTGTTACTTGTCCCAGCTTCTGCCAACATAGCAGCTCGAAAGCACGGAAAAAGTGCAAGTAGATAAATAGGAACCACCTTTGGTGGGAAGCTTTCTGTGAGCCTTCGGCATTGAGTCATGCCGGCCACACGACCACGGAGACGTCTTCGGACAGCCCTGGCTCTTCGGCTTTGAAACGGAGATGAGCACCGCCCCCCTAGAGTCAGGAACAACTAGCACATGTTTGTGAGGGAAACCTTTTTAACGCTTATTATTAAGGATAAAAAGGGGACTGAATATTTTGTGATGTGGGATGTGTTTTTTCAATGGTTAGACAATAGAAACAGAAGTTAGAAAAGGGGAGACATAAAAAGAGGAAATGTTATTGTGGAGAGAATGAAAAGATGATGAAGTTATGTGTTATTGCTATTATACTATTATATAGTTATATTATTAATATTATTGTGATGAATATAACAACAAATACGTGGATTATGACTGTTCAAATAACTATACCCAGATCACCCACTGTTTGACGGAAATGGAAAATAATATAAATAAAACAAACGAAAATGAAATGTTTAGGATGTCCTTGGAAACATGGGCAGTTCACCAATTTTATCTGTTGGAATATTTTTTGTGCAGATTCATTTTTCTGTTTGTTTTTTTTAATTGATTGACGCTGGTTTTATTTTAATGTTGAACGCCAACCAGAATCCGGTGGAGCCAAATTAATTCATCCGGATTCAAAATTCTGCTTTTTCTATTACTTATTTGGGATCCTTCTTCCTGCAAGCACAGACGGCAATGAGGAATCCCAGGAACATCACGGAGCCAAGGGTTATGAGCACGATTTGGACAATGTTCAGCAACTTGATCTTGTTGGTCACATTTGATCGGAAAAATTCTGCTTTCTCATCACCGATAATAGCCGTCTGGAGAAAAGGAGGGAAAAAATGCAGCATCATTCCAGCAGAAGAATACTTCTTCAATAAAATAGGAATAGGAATAGAATAGAATAGAAAGAATAGAAAGAATAGAATAGAATAGAAATAGAATACAAATAGAATAGAATAGAACAGAGTAGAGTAGAGTAGAGTAGAGTAGAGAAGAGAAGAGTAGAATAGAATAGAATACAAATAGAATAGAAATAGAATAGAATAGAACAGAGTAGAGTAGAGTAGAATAGAATAGAATAGAATAGAAAGAATAGAAAGAATNAGAACAGAACAGAACAGAACAGAACAGAACAGAATTGAACTTTTATTGGCCAAGTGTGATTGGACACACAAGAATTTTGTCTTTGGTGCCTATGCTCTCAATGTGCATAAAAGAAAAGATACATTCATCACGAATCGTAAGATGCAACACTTAATGATAATGAATCGGGAATTCATTCAATTCATGCACACTCATGGCCATGTTCACATGCACGCTTAAAAAGGACTGCCCCTCCCCCTCCTCCGGGCTGCCAACCCAGAAAATATCATAAAATATTGACATCCATTTCATATTTTAACTTTACAGGGTGGAAAACTATGAGGAATTGTCCACCAACCTTCAAAGAACCATTTCCTTAACCCATGGCCCCCCAGTTAACGATTTCATGGAGTTGGAGTGCTATCGTTGCAGATATCTATACCAGATTTCACATGCACATTTTCTATCGTATTGCGATGGGCCTCTAAAGAGCATTTCCCATCCATGCGAGTTTTTGTTTCAACTATACTGAGAATAAGTTTAGTTTTGGACTGGTTTCTAGAACACCGGTGTGCTTTGAACTGATTCGAAGGCCATCTGAATCCACTGATATTCCAGATCTAATGCTTGATCCAGGAATCTGGTTCTTCGATTACTGCTGGAAGTCAACCAGACGGCTATAATGGTTTCTCAAATGAACACAGAGCAACAGCATAGCTTCTCTGCCCTTCCATGCTCATTTCATTGCCAGTATATTTGTTAGTTTGGAAAGCTAATCCAGGGAAATGCCATTCACCTTGCTGGTTTGAATTTTGCTGTCAGCAACACAAATGGCTCTTCCAAAAAGAATTAATCGGCTTGATAATGTGGGTGAGCAGAGAAAGCTAGTGTACATTGAGCAGAAATGGGTTTCATGCAGCCAATTCTGAAGCCAGCCAACAAAATCCTTGGCTATTGTACAAGTCATGTCATGAGAAGGATTTCAAGCTGATGCCAAGAATTGTAGCAGTGTGTGTATGTGAGTGAGTGAGTGAGTGCGGGCACAAGCACCACTTGGACAAAACACACAACATTAGTTATGATTAACTGAGCTGATCCTTGTTGACAATATATCCATATAAGGTTGACACCTATCTCTTGCATTGTGTACATTTCTTGGAGGATAAGGAGGATGAAGAGGAGTTTAATCACTGGAAATAAGGATGGACATAATGTCTGTATTTAAACAAAGTGTTGTGGCCTGCCTGCGGCCAGTGGATCTGGTGGCAGATTCAGACAGTGAGGAGGTTGGGGAGTAACCTGGGCCAGTCCTGGAGTCTGGGGAAGGCTCAGACGAGGGCTCTGTGTCGGAGGCAGAGAGGGGGACAGGGCCATCTGACAGTTATCAGCTGCCTTCAGAGTCAGACATCAGTGGAGCAGAAGAACAGCTGGAGCCTGTCCCCAGTGTGCACAGGTGCAGAGTTGGCAGGAGAAAGGAACAGCTAAAGAACAGGGGTCGACTTGGGAGTAAGGCCACAGTTGGGCGGTGAATGGCCTCTCCCATAGGGAATAAAGAGGAGCGAAAGGGGAGTGGAGTTTGCAGGAGTTCAATTCATTAGGGTGAAGATCTGATGCAAATAAATCCTGGCCATAACCATGTTGATGTAAAAATCCATAAGGGATCCCATATTATTATGGTGGCCTCCTCCTTCCAAAATAATCAGTCTGTATTAATAATACCCAATAGTGCTGCTACTTAGACTTATATACCGCTTCAGTCTGACTCTGTAAACCGCTTAGAGAGGGCCTCAAAGCACTGTAAAGTGACATATAGCAATAGCAGTTAGACTGATATACCGCTTCAGTCTGACTCTGTAAACCGCTTAGAGAGGGCCTCAAAGCACTGTAAAGTGACATATAGCAATAGCAGTTAGACTTATATACCGCTTCATAGGGCTTTCAGCCCTCTCTAAGCGGTTTACAGAGTCA